GAGTGTGCTTCACAGATGGAAAGGGCCCTGGCCAACACCAGGGACAGGGGCCTTTCTTTATTGCTTGGCATTTTTAGGTTCGCCATACTAGCAAAAACAAATTCCCTTCTTCCTCTTGTTCATTTCGGCTAACTTCCTTTTTTTTTTACTGGCTTACTCTCGAAACTGCTTCGTTTGCTTATTCCAGTGAGCACCGCAGCAGGATTTCAAGTATCGATTCTAGTTGAAAAGGGGTGATATTTGGGTCTGAAAGTTTGCCCTTGTTTCACTGGGTAGGCGAAATGTGCTCTACATCGAAGACGTCAGTTGTCAATATAAAATGTTCATAATAATTATATATATTGACATACTTATGGTTTAATAGATGTCATGTAATAAAATATTGAACTATACATTCCAGTGTTGCTGCCAACACAAGCTGCCAAGAAGCATTGTAATGGGAGAAGAATTCTAAATAATATTCTGGCTATGTACGACGACACTTTAATTAAAACTTATTGTCTCCTGTTAAAGGAAACTCTGGAAGGCATTTATGGACATGAGTCTTCATTTCCAAGCACTAGTTATTTCAATGCTGAGCTAATAAAATATTGTGGGAAAAGCTATAAGTGTCGCTCATAGCACACCATGCAGCAATCCCATCCTAATAAACGCGGATCAACCATCTCCACTAGCCGCTGGTTATTTGCCTCTTTTTATCGACCCACCAGCAATGACATCACTCCAGTTGCCCTCCTACGGACTGATCGTAAATATTTTAAAAAAGGTTCACAGATAAGGTTCATTTTAAAAAGGCCTCAATGTTTTAAAGCAACGCTCCCACGGCGGAGTATTTTAGGCAAAGCTTACTCTCAATACAGGAGGAAATAGTACATTTGTTGTGAGATATTGTTCCACTGGAGAGATTAAACAACATTTGGTGTTCCTAGTGAAGCTATTTCCGGGAGGCGAGGATTATGCATACAATAAACAAAGTCCTGTGTGGTTCATGGTAATGAAGGAACATTGCAACATTTAATAGTTTTTGGACAACAATGTAGTTAGTAGGATTCATTCATTTTGCACAGTTTGAAGTGAAATTGTAAATGTTAAAACGTAAACGTTACTATATAACCCTGCTCAGCTGCTTCAATTTAATTAAATTAGTTATTTCCATGCTTGTCACCAGTTTTGTGGCCACATCCAAGTTTTTAATCCTTCCTACAAAGCTCTGTTGGATGATCATTTCTAGTAACCAGGGGAAGAATGGGGGATGGGTTTTGTTGGTGGTATTCCGAGGTCTGGACCAAGGATATAATTTTCCCACAACTAATTTTAAAGAAACTGCGTAAGGCTGAAAAAGTGTTAAGATAAGATTAGGACCCAAGCAATGGCCACTATTGAAATGCAAGGAATTATTTTTTTTCTGCCAAAAAGCCACAACATGCTTGAAAACTCATGAAACGCAGCACAAAATTCAACAGTGGTGGAAAAGTACGTATTCTATGGGTCCCACTCATCATTCAAATTAACTCTCTAAAACGTGTTCTGGCAACTTCCTCCCTTCTTTATAAATAACGCCAATCTAAAACTCTGACTTTGTCTAAAAATATCCCCTCCACAGAGTTTCAGTGCAGCATTGATGCTTAATGACCATAAAAAAATCATAACCCTACAAATTCCAGTTATTATCCTAAAATACATAAAAGACATAATATTAACCTTAAATCCTACTCTTAAACTCATATTACATAGAGGGAAGAACAGTGTCCCCATCTTTATAAAGCTTTTGTCCTTCTGAAAATCTGCAACCAGTCCTCACAAGTATAGTAAAACGACTATAGCATCTTCTAAACTCATGGTGTTCCATGTTTATTTGATTGCTAACGGATAAAGCCTCTCACCTGCTCAGAGCGAGGCAGATTGAGAAATATTGTCGGCTGGCGTCAAATTTGTTCTGATTTAGCTAAACAAGGCTTTGGGCGGCTCTGCAGTGCATCTGTAGAGAAAAATCAATCACAGCCTCCATTCCCTGACACTAATTTGATTTAGTTCAATTTGAAAAAACAGGGCTGAGTTTGGCCTGGCCCCCGAGACCAGCTGGCAACACATTCAAAATGCAACTATTCACCTTATGATCTGCTATTTCCATCTCTGCATGCAGGAAGAAAATAGTTGGAACTGTTTTTGTCCAGTGATACACACACTTTCACTTGAATGAATGAAAAAACACACTTATCACAATCTATAGTATGACGCTGATACTGATATTAAGTTTTCAATAAATGGCTTAATAATGTAACTGATATTTACAACCTGGTCTCACTCGCAAGTTGTCAAATAGTGCAGCTTCATCAGTGGCCCTCTGCTTCAAAATATGACACTGTTGGGGTCCCTCTAAAGTCATTTCTGGATGTGCCCACCATCACCGTAGTATAAAGATGAACAAAATCCACATATGGAGGTGGTGGGGTGGATGAATGGCTCAAACAAACCCAGGAGACTGCTGTTCATGGCCCGTGTGAAACCAAAAGTTAACTATTTCTTTCAATCTCATCAAACTGGGAATACTCTTTTTTAAATTGGTCAGGAAAAATAGGATATCATCTGCATATAAAGAAATGGGATGATAGTTTGACTGCAGAGCCCTGCACATCCAATAACCTACAGTGTCATATTTTGAAGAGGAGGGCCAGGGGAGTTGGAGTGAGAAAGTGTTGGTTTTAAACTAACTAATAAGAACCAACATAATTGGACACAAAATATTGTAAATCATAACTCTGGCTTTTCAAAATTGAATGAACATTATCTTCAGCATCTGGGAACCTGGGGTGTTGTGATCAATATAAACCTCCACATTGCATCATCAGCAGTGAGAAAATACGATATTCTAGAGCACATGGTCCTGCTTGACTCCCACTGCCAATATTACTGATATTATTGTTATTATTACTATTGTCACTGCTCATTGTCCCCCATCGATGTGGCTGTTGTCGTCCATCATCTTCTTCATGTTCTCATCATCATCACAGCCATCAGTCACTTCCTATTAGTGTAGTTGTTGCTACTGTATGTATGTAAAATGTAGGAAATTTCACTGCCCTATATTTTTTTATATTTTGTAAAGGTGAATATAAAAATAGATTGCAGATGAAGCTGTTACAATATAATTTTAAAAAAGATAAATCACTAAATGAGTCAGTGACTGCACTCTACTCAAGACACTACACTTTGACATCATCCACTGCAACAGCATGTGAGGTGGATTGTTCCTCTAATAATGCAGACTAAATACCACTTTAAAAGTTACCGTTATTTAAAAAGGCAATGTTTGGACAATGCAGTGAACAGTAGTCTGTATTTTGTGGGAGAGAGGGTGGTCTCATTAATTTTACTTCCCTCACTTTCGCTTTAATCACACCTTTCACTCCCTCCTCTATCATTTGAAGGCCATTCATAAAAGTCATTTGATACACCCTGGTGATAATGTCCCCCCTGCCATTACACAGATTGAGCAGGAGATACGTGCACATGTGCACAGGTGTCTGCGTGGTATATGAGGAACTAGTACCCAGGGACACTGTTAAAGGCCTCATATATCTCTGTACACTGTCTACCCAGAGGGCTCAGGGAGAACAGCTGCTATTGATAAGCCTCATATAAATGCTCAGACACCTGCTAGGCATATGTTCAGACAGTAAGGAGGCTTTGTGCTAGATTAAAATGCTTCTCTCCGTGGAAATCTCTGTTTTGGTATATTCCCATGAGCGCTTTCTGGGAAACTGGACCACGGTGTGCTGACACCTCAAGTTTAGTTTGAGCTGCAGACTTTGCACAGCTTATCCCCGTACACACAGATGCTCACACAGACACATACACACAGTACACACAAACAACAAGACTTAAGGTCTAAATCCCCACAAACAATCCTTAAAGGCTGCAATGTTTATCACATACCACAACAAAAATTTGAGCACCAGGCTGATGATTCTACTTCTCTAAGAGCCTGGCTTCAAGGGGGCTAAGAGTTCAATTTTGACCCCATGGTTGCACTCCAGAAGAGATTATGCAAAGGCGTAGGTTTGGTTTCAGAAGTGGTGGGGGGTGCAATGATGTCAGACCGAGTCAATCTGTCTATCTTGTGTAGTTCAAAAGTTCGGTTAAATAAGGAAACAGCAGTGGATATTAAGATTGAAGGGGCATCTACTACATCAAAGTCCTCTGTCTGCTATGTTGGTTGCATCCTTGATGGGGGAGGGGACTTCCATTGCCTTGAAGGTTTTAGCCAAGGTAAGGCAGAACTAGATACCTACCCAGGAGGGCTGGACTACAAGACAGGGCATTCCTAAAACTGTCAGCTGCCATTAGCTCATTATACTGGGGCCTAGACAAACGTTTGAAACAGAAAACAGTCTAGGACTAGATCATAAGAGTCATATCTGATATAACTTAATATGGCCTATAGGATCTTAAATGGCAGAACCCCTCATTAACTTGACAATTACTTTAAGAAGACAGAAGAGGTCCATGATCACAATACCAGAGCAGCTAACCTGAACCTTTAAAGATTCAAAATTGATTGATTGATGTGGCATGATGTGATCAGGTGTCTTCATCTTGCGAGGTCAGTCTGATGGAACATCAGGGACCATGATGGGAAATTTTAGACCTGCGACTTCTTTTTTGCCATGTTTTTCGTGTTGCGTCTCTCTTCTTCCTAATGTTTTCTGTTTGTGTCTACACTTTTTGAAAAGTGATTTCTTCCTTGGAAGTAATAACTTTAAAATCAATCAATTTATACTACCTTGTCATGGCAGGTTTACAGAAAACTCTGTGAAGTTAAAAAGTTAAAACATTATATTAACAATAAAATGCAGGTAGTACAATGACAACACATTTACAGTTTTTAGGCTGTTTTGTATTGTCTAAATGATTTCACAGGGTGCCTTCACTTCTGCTGAAATCACATGCTCTGTTAAATGAACAGCAGCAATTACTTATGTTGACAGACTTCCTTTCAAAAACAGAGGAAGTCATTAATCAGTGCTTCTTAAAGTACAACAAGAGCACAGGTGCTGCTCTGAGAGAGAGAGAGAGAGAGAGAGAGAGAGAGAGAGAGAAAAACAAAGGAGAAAAAAAAGAGCTTAAGATGCAACCTATGCAAATGAGCCCTCCTTAATTTGCTTGCAAATGGCAAATGATTTTCTACGGCTGACTGACTTATCGGGCTCAGACACGGCGGGGTGTGTTGTTCTGTGTCTTCACCTTGGCACCGCAATCACAGAAAACACACACTCCCGTGCTGTACACTTGCACCTTCTACTCCACACAGCAGCCATTACAGGAGCAGGGGGAGGAGGGGGGAAGAGTGGTGGTGGTGGAGGGAGGGAGGGGAGGGGGGGGTCTGCCAAACAAACCCTCCCTGATATAATTAGTTTTTTCCGCTGCACCTAATTAACCTTTGTCTGTGTGGCACTTACGCATCTCATTCACAAGCCAAGCGCTCTTTCATTAGCAACGCGTTGTGTTTTTAATGTGTTTTACCAGTCATGGGGAGGTAGCGCTTTGTAATCTTCAAACCGCTTCCATCGCACTGTTTGAAGCCGGGGACTGGTGCACGTATGAGCACAGGAGATGAAGTGGGGTTTGTGATGATTGGATTCAAAGAGGGCGAGGGAAGGGTTTGCAGTAATGTGGGTTCATGCACATCGAAGGGTGATCGCGGGCGGGTCAACTTGTGGGAAGGTAGATACATACACTTGAATGTCCAGCATGATCCGCTTGTCCTCCTCAACATGGATTCCCCAGATACAGTCCTGGCCTTTATCGTAGGCTTCAGGCCAGTTAGGAGACAGCACCACTCCAGCTGAATCCGTGATCTCGCCACTGCACACAGCTGGAACATACACATACATACACAACCATGAGTGTAAAGTTCATTTATCAGCACACTAGAGCAATAGGGCTGGTTGTCAAAATTGCAGGTACCATTGATTTCCGCTGCCAATACCTAAACAATAAATTTTTCAGTACCTTACTTTGTGAAATATAGACTTACAGTAGTTAGATGTGAATATATCGAGAGATAGGCCAGGTATCCAAGATAGTAGGGAGAATATAATATTTTTTCCATCTAACTCTTTTTATTTAAGGGTTTATTTCGACCAAACCAGAGTTGGTGATTGGCGGAACAGTGAAAAGACCAACTGAGGTTTTGGTGAGTTTCATTTAGTTTTTGTTGAGTTTGAATGTGTTACAATGTTATGAGGTAAAATGAAAAATGTAAAATGTTTTTGTAAATGTAGCCTGGTGGCTTTGAACACATCGATATAATAGGTGTTTCTGGTTAAAAAGAAAGGATCTTACACTTTCACAAAAAGGTCTATCTCTGTAGGGATCCTTTCTATAATGTTGTCCCATAAGAATTATGTTGCAGACAGTTTCGCAGCTGCCGGATGCAACCCTCTTGCTCAATACTAGACCAATTTCAACAATTGTACCCATTAGTCACTTAGACACAAAAAACAAAATAGGCATAGGGTAAAATAAAAAAATACCAAAGTTACCCTTTAATAAAAGAAGGTAAAGCTCTCAAATATTGAGCACAAGACAGCCACACAAAAAGAATAAGAATAACAATAAGATAGAATCTAAAACTGGCTACATTTAGATTTAATGATAGATTTTAAATCTGACCAGCTATTCAGTGCCTCAAAAGTTTGAGGTTTAATACGCAGCCCTACACAGCAGCAGGGTGGGTAAGTGGCTGCAGAGGCTTTCTTAAAGTGGTCTTAATGGGTTTAAAAAGGTAAAAACCATGAAGCATGATCTGCAGTCTAAGCTTAGTTTGGTCTAGACCTCAGCTCAATAGCAAAATGTAATCATATATAAACAATTTATTTTTTGTTAAGAGGAAACCATCTATGGATATATATGGAAACTCCACAGACACTCTCACTATAGGCTTCTACTTCCTCTGGATACCCAAAGCCAATGGGACTCACTTCATTACTTAATTAATTACTCACTTAACTAATGGTCCCATACAAAATCAAGCTTTAATTCCTTCTGTTAAATTTATATCAAATGTTGTCCACACTACACTTGCACACTTGTTTGCTTCAGTTGCTTTGTTTAAGTGTTTATTTTACCTGGATAAAAGGGCTTCCCATGTTGTGATCAAGCAGAAAATAAAATCCATTAAAGATGGAGGTGACTTGAGCAGCTTTGTTGTGGTACTGAATAGTATCCATCCCAGAGGGTGTGGCTGTGTGAACCAGTGTAAATTACCAATCTATACCGGTTGAAATTCATACCTCTACAGGCAGGCTCAGTCTCGTTCCACTGGGGATTGTTGGGGTCCATGCATTCAATGGTGACAGATCCCTGTTCCAGAGTATAGCCAGGGTCGCAGGCGAACTCCACCACAGCTCCCACTGCCCAGGTGCTGTCGCTGCTGGTCAGGTTACCATACTTCACGAAGGGTTCGTAGCAGTGGCCCGCTGCAAAGGCTGTGGGACAAAGACATTTACAGTGGTGGGAAGGAGCTTTTACCAAAAAGCAAGTGAGAAGCTATGCTTGTCAGATGAATTAGCATCTTCATCAATAATATGGCTAAAGACCGTGTGACTTTTGTAAGGCCCTTGATACATTTTCATATCTGACATTTAACGAAATCAACTTTGTCTCGTAAACAACTTGGTACTTGGAGATTTATTTCAAGGCACCCAGTTTCCTGTGAGGGACAGTTAGGAAAAAAGCTGTATGATAACTGGAGTTGAGTAGTCGGAGGAGTTTTTAGTATCATCACAGTAAAATGAACTCAAATAGTAACCGTTATTAAAAAACTTGTTGTGTAAACAGCTCTCTCCCTCTTGTGAGCCAAAACATTGCTCTGAAGCTCAATTCTGAGGCTTTTATCTAAATAGTTTTTTAATGACTATCGCAATTCTGATCAACCCATATCAATTTCAGGCTTAAATTAACAACTTCTGATACCTACTTCAGGTTTAAGCACCACCCATGTCCTGTTTAAGCCACGGCCATTCCAGACACAAATACAGATTCATTAGTTGGTTGAACTGACACAGATAGTAGTGTACTCACTCAACCTTTCTGATAACAAATACTGTATGACAAGCTGTGTTTCAAACATATATTTGACTCAATATAACGGCAGTGCAGACTGACAGAAATGCCAGATACACAATATACAGTTGTGAAACGTGAACAGATGATATGGTAAATGGACTGTACTTATATAGTGCCTTTCTAGTCTTTCAACCACTCAATGCGCTGTACACTACATGCCACACTCACCCCATTCACACACATTCATAC